CAGTCCCTGGGTGTTACAAGGTGGCTTGGCCCAGGGACCACTTAGGGTAAGTATTGGGCCCATAGAGCCCATGTGATGGGTTTCAGGGGGTGCACTGTCCATAACAGTGTATTCGGCCAGGCCTTGTAACAAAGGATGGGCTAAACCAATGTGGCTGATGTGTAGATCAATGTTTGGGTCCCATGCCATACAAGGAAGCCCAACTGGGCAGTAGTTTGGAAGGCTAAGTGAGCACATATCCTTATTGGGCCTAAAGTCCATTTCGAACTGGGATGATTTGATCAGTTAAATAATGTGCGAATTCTGAGATTAGATTAGCAATCAGGATAGGGTCTTACCTTATCTACTCAGAGAGTCCAAATCTGAATACATATTCAGATCTGGAATCCTCTTAATGGGATTAGGAGAGGGCTGATCTAATCTACAGATAAGATAAGGGTTTACCCTTATCACTTAAAGGGAATTCTGATCCAGATATGATTTGGATCAGCAACTCCTAATGAGATTAGGAGCTAATCCCTTTAAGCTTATAAAAGGAGGAGGGGGCGACAACCTTTTAGAGATTGATATTCACACTCTTCAGAGCTGAAATCATAGAAGTAAGAATTCAGCACCTCTGCGACAATTCTTTCTTGTCGCCTCCTTCCTGCCGCCGCCATATCTGCCAGTTCGATCTCTTATTTTCAGTGGGAGTGATCAAGATTGGATCTTGATATCAGTCTTTTGTGAAAGGGCTGATTGGAAGTAGTGCTCACGTGCCGTCCAGCTGATTCTTGCGAAGGATCTAGTTCTTTTGAAGAATGCTGCTGATTCTGCCCCATCCTGCCCTGCACCATCTCCAGTGGGAGCAGTCTTTGGTTCATTCTTTGGGCGTGAACACCTCCATTGGGAGATACTATTTCTCCGTATCAGGTATATCCCTCTCCTACTGTTTTTGTTCAGATCTGGTTCGGTTCTTGGTTCAAGATTGATCCTTGAAAAATATGATTTTTCTAAATTAGGGAATACGATTCCTAGTAGGATGGAGAGAAATATTTGAAATTCGCCCATTCTATTCCGCTAGATTCGGGCGTCCAATGTCATATTCTGGTCAGTATCTGTTGCCGCACAATGTCATATTCTGAATTCAGGCCAGCCAGAAAATCAAACACCCTATTTGTCTCGACTTGCTTTCCGTGAGTCTGTGCATCTTTGGGACTCTCCCACTCAAGG